TAATAAAATTAAAAAATTAAATGACATGTCATGCTACATAGAAGTATTTCACTCACATTTAACAAAAGAGTTAATGACAATGATTAAATTCTAATAAAACAAATTATAAATACTCATAAAATATGTTATATTTATAAAGACCAACCACATATTTAAACTTTTCTTTTTAAAAAAAATAAATCACTCAAATATCAACTCACCCTATATTATGATGATTTGTGAAATATCATTTTGATATTTAAAATTTGGGATTAATATAGAAATTACTATGTTTATCTTTAAAAATAAAAGATTTCATTAATTTTTCTTTTTTAACGATTAATTTAATTTAAATAAAATACTAAATTAGCTTTTATTTGTGGAGACGTATGCTGATTTCAAAAGAAGAATTAAATTTACCTTTTATTTCATATATTATTTAGTTTAATGTACCTTCCATCTCTATGTTATATATGAGTATTTATTTATTTTTAAAAAAATATTTTTAAGAACTTATTAAAACACAAAAATTTTAAAAATTACTTTTTCCTTATTGTGTTATATGACTTTTTAGAATTTTGTTAATTTTTTTGTTAATTTTTTTTATTATTATTTAAAATTTAATATAAATTTGAAATATTGATACAATGTTTTTTGGTTACAGCTGATACAATGTATTTGGTTAAAGATATATTATTTTAGATAAATTAAAATTTAAAATTCTCAATCATATTAATTTGAATTTAAATTTTAAAATTTTGACACATTATATTAATAAAATAATTTTTTTCATTAAATCTTAATTTACATTTTAAATATCTTATCTCTTTAATTTAATTATATTTAATATAATGAAATATTTATTATTAATAATAAAATATTTACTTTTTAAATTCATTTAATCTAAAATAATCATTAATATATTTCTAACTTCTATTGAAAAATATTTTAATTGTAAAAGTATTTGTTCGTTTAGAGCGCGAGAAGTTTAGCAACAAAATCAAATTGGATCAGATCAAAGTGAAATATAAATAAACAACCCTATTTAATTTTCTGGTCAAGTAAAAAAGAAAATGACCCATCCTAACATTCCACTTTCATTTGTCTTTGTTTCCTTCTTGTCATGTCATTCAGTTTCTTTCTTAGCGAAAAACTTCGTTCAGATAACTCAGACTCACATCATAGCTTATAATATCTCATAGCCATTGTTTTTGCATTTACCTGAAATTTACCTAGTGGGGTTATATGCGTGTCCCTGACTGTTTTTGCATTTACCTGAGGATGTTTGTTTTGTGGCCTTTGATTTGTACGTTGGTAACTTGTTTTTGGGGCTGTGATTTAACTGGTTTGGGTGAACACCTATTTACTGGGCTTTAACAACTATAAATGCATTCTTTGTAGTGTGGCCTGTACTACCCTTTAGTCTTATCATGAGAGAAGGATGGAACTATGAGTGATCTATAGCATCTCATTTTACATCTAACTGAATAAGAGCCTAGACCTAAGAATGAATGTGTGGTTTTGCATTACTATGTGGAAAAGTTATAGCTTAAAGTTTTTTTTTTTTCTTGATTTGTGTAGGGCAGCACCTATTCTAGGGGTAAACTTTTGTCATATTGGTCTTATATTATTCCTTCAGTTAGCTCTGATGGATCCACGAAAAGCAATCATCGATCTGTTTCCGTTAGAAGCAATCATGAAAAATTTGACCGGGATGATCTTCTCTTGGATAAATTTGTTAATTTTAGTCCCATGTGTAAGAATAGCAAAGATTTATTGAAAGGTAAAAGTAATGATGAAGATCAAGCCTTTAGAAAGAGCAATGGCAGTTCTAAAGTCTCTGAAGAAGTAGTTGAGCGCCATTCTCCAAATACTCCAAAGAAGCCTCTACTCAGTTTTACTGATTCTACTTTTATTACTGCTGAGTTGAATGAATTTTTTGAATCATGCCTCCCTAATACAGTAAAAGGGTGTCAGCGGGTCTTACTTTATAGGTAATTTTTGCTTTCTAGTTTTTGGTTTGTGTGTAGAATGGTTTTTATTGTGTTTTTACTTATTACACTAAATTATTGATTCAACATTCCTTCAATGAAAGGCAGTACGTTGAAACATGGCATATCGCTTCGTACCCTTCTTCGCAACAGTGCTAAACTTTCTGGTCCTGCTTTGTTGGTATTGCAGCATTTATGAATTAAATACATGTCTCTTGTTATGGTGTACATTAATGTATTATTCTATTATTGAATTGTTATTTATTAAACGGTTAGGTTGTTGGAGATACACAAGGTGCTGTGTTTGGTGGGCTGCTAGATTGTCAAAGAGAAAATATCAAGTATGCTAACTCTTTATTTTCTTTTTGATATAAACATTCTTTCATATCTTGACGTATGATTTTTTTTCTGTTTGCTGTGGTAATAGGGGACAAACCAAACTTTTGTTTTTACAACCTTACGTGGTCGGCCAAGGCTGTTTCGACCTACTGGTAAGGGTTCTTATTGGTTGATGTACAAGTGTGTTTTATTTGTAGGTAGACGTCAGACATTGTTGCATTATCTAAATTATTGTAATTTAGATATATCAATTTTCAATTTTGTTCAAGTCAAGTATGAGTGGAGAAATCTTACGTTGGGTAAGAACGAGGGGATTGACAACATATAAGTGATAAAGACCCATAAGTCAATAGTTTTAAGGTTTTTGAGATGGGTGCAATGTCCAAGTATGCTTATATAATTGCTCGTGGACCAATTGGTGGAGATCTCTCTGGTGTTTTAAGCCTCCTCGTTTGACCCAACAAATATTAATAAGCATCACCTGAATCTGGATTTGTATGACATGAAAGCCAGTAAACTCATCACTAGAAATTATTTTTAATTAAAGCCTTATATAGAAGACAATTAGTAAAGAATCAATGAGGATTTCAAATTGGCTGTTGACTGAATAGTTCTTCATCACCTCCTGCATTTTGTCTTATAGTTTCAGTATCTTTTGACAGTGTTTGTGGTCTTCACTTAATTGGTATACTCCATAAACATTTCTGATGTATAGTCAAGTGGAAGGATTTTACCATATGCCTTGATCATCATCGTCTCAAATTATTTCTTTGAAAAACCAGAAAGGCTTTTTTATATGAACATGTCAATTAAATTCTGTAGTTTTGATGGCTGCTCCTTTTGAGCCTCACAGTTAACAGTCATAAGGGCAAAGACAGAATGAAGGAAGTTATGAAAAAGACATTAGTAACTACCTTCCAAAATGGGGCTTGTTAATTTTCTGAGCCTCCGAGGCATTTGGTGGTTATGGTTAATTGGGGGTGAAAATGCAACAATTAGAAATCATTTTACTAGTTTAGTTAGATTGGAAATGAGTAATTTATCCGTTATGCAGGGTATATACTGTCTCAATCTTTTATTCTAAAGCATGAAAACCTGATTCAATCCTTCTTATTTCCTTTGAACTAGGAGTATTCTGATATGTGTGTTTATTTGTAGGTGTCAACCGGTACTATTTCTTATGTTTGAATGATTTGCTTGCACTTGGTGGTGGTGATAGTTTTGCTCTATGCTTAGATGGATATTTGTAAGTATTTCAATAGTGCTGCTTAGTTCTTGTCAGTCCACTTCTTTATTGTCCAAGTGCCACTAATGAAATCTCTACGTTTGAATGTATTCTTCTGGTTGGAAAGGTTAACTGGAACTAGTGGACCATGTGATACATTTGGAAACTTATGTTTGGCTCATAGTCCAGAATTTGAATTGAAAAATGTTGAGGTAGTGTTCTTTCTAGTGAAGTTATTTGTTTTGCTTACATCAAGTTAATAAGAGGCTTTCATCTCTATTGATTAGATTTTTTTTTTCTTTTAATTTTCCTTGCTTTTTAAATTTTTTGTAATTAACTTAATATTTGTGTTAAGTACTTTGATCAATATCTCTTCATCTGCCACACTTCATTTAACTGTCTTTTGATTGCCAAAATAATGCATGGTTAAACTGGAGTTATCGTGGTGAATCATTTGATACTTTTTTGTTCTGATCTGTGTCTGAGCAACTAAAAATATTTTATTTCATATAATGAGTGACATGATGGTGATAATTACTCCAACAGGAGGTAAACAAAGATAAAAAGTGAAGAGTCCAGTTAGTATGTTCTATCTACCGATTTACCTTTCTTTCAAGTTTATCTTTTATTTTTCCTGCTTCATGAAAATCAGAATCAAAATTCATGATCATAAAATTGTTGATGTCTATATGTTTGAACTTTGATGACTGTTGAGGGTATACTGAAATGAACTTATGTCCACCTCTAACGTGAAAGGCATCCTCCAAATTTCAGTATTTTATAATGCAACTAATTAATATCTTAGAGAATTTGGTTTTTGACCAAACTTAACAGCGTGATCCATATATCCGACCTCATAGTGGGATAAAGTTTGGTGGTTGTATAATTTTTTAAATTCAATTAAATAATGTTCCCTCTAATTGTCTATATCTCAGTCTAACAGTTACCAAAATGCTATATCTCGGTCTAACTGTTACTAACATGCTCTGCTCACTTTGCCAATCTGAAATCAGCCTCAAATCTTCTATTAGAAGCTTAAACATGATGTTTGTGAATTGAGATAAACCACCTTTATTTCGTACTCCAACATGGTTGACATAATTTCCTTGCGCTCCTGATTCTTCTAGTTCCTAACAAGATAAAATTCGACGAAATGTAAAAATATTTCTACTCGTTAACTATTTTTTTGTTGCCATATGCAGCGTAGCTATCGTAAGCAAATATGCACTCAAACCAGGTATCAGGAACAAAAAAATAAATTTTTTTTCCGCGTAAATAACCTTCGCTGTAGTTTCATGTCACCGCAACGATGAAATATTCCTTTACGTATAACAATGCCGATGTAAAAATAAATAATGCCGCACAGTATAAAACAAATTTAGGTACCAAATGTCACTGAATGGCGGACAATAAGTGATTCGTTGTTGGATCCTTTGTTTTCGATTATATTAACTTGCATGATATCTAGAAGAAAAAGAGCTCGATAGGATTTTTCACTATAAACAAATTACTAATGTCTTTTACCCAAGTTTTTTTATGTCTAATAAATCATCTTAGCACCCGGAATAAGAGACGAGAAAAGGAAATAAATAGTTATAGTAATGGCCGACAAATTTCACTTATCTCACTAATCAAATCATCACGTTACAAAATTATCTACGAACAATATAAGCTTAAGGTTTTGATGACAAGGCAAATATTGCAGCTTGTGTCACTTAGTTAGAGCCATGATCAAGGCATAGTAATGTTGCTGCAGAAAGCCTGAAAGTACATATGCTCCATCCCACACACATCGTGGTATGAGGATCAAGACTGAATAGTCAAAGAAACCACTACTTTCATTAACTTTTCCAATCATATTAGACCATGCACCAATAGCAGGCAGCAACTGTCACTCCATAGCAAGACTTTGACCTCGGCAACAGAGGCGTTCTATGACTCAGCAGCAGCATCTTCACTAGGCAAGCCAAATATTCGAAGATTCCGGTCCATTGATCCCACCGCTATGTACTGAGAATCTGGACCAAATTTTACACACGTGGCTTTACCTGGGAAGAAGTTCAAGTAGCGTCTTAGTAAGTAGTAACTAGACAAACATGGAACCCTCAAAGCCCGAAGGAAAAAATAAACAAGGGGGAAAAAAACAGAACCTGTTCCAGATAAATCAGGAAAAGTTTTGATACAGTTCCATTCAGACTTCACATTTGCAACTTGGTAAATCCTGAATAAATTAACAGGTGCTGGAAATCAGTTTCAGGAAAACAAATGAAAGGGTTGATAAATTGACAAGTCTGAGAAGATTTTTTGCTGTAAATTCTGGAAATGTCACTAAATTCAGTACTACACAGTTTTCCTCACCTTATATCAGAGCCTGCAATTGCAAGGTAGGACCCACTGTGGTCGAACTCCACTGCAATATAGAGAGAACTAAATGAGGACCTTTTGAAATAAGAGTAATTTCTTATCCTGCGTCCAAAATAAGTTCTATGTTCATCAAGTGAAAATAAATACCAGAGTTTGGTGGAGTTTCTGAATCATAAGGGGTAAAATTCCTAAAATTTTTCAATTTACGAAGATCCCAAAGCTTTACACCATCGTGAGCAGCAGTCTGTTAAATTTAAGAGTATAAGAATACCATATAAACAATCATCCTACTTTTAGTTACATTTCTCACATACCGCAAGGAAGTATCCATTCTCAGAAAAAGAAATGGAAGTTACTGGCCCAACATGTCCATCAAACCTAGCAACATTTGCCTTCAACCAATGGAAGAAAGTAAAACACAGAATTAAAAAAATATTAATATTTAACTTCAAATAAGAAAAAGTGAAATTGTATACCTGACTTTTTACATCCCAGATCTTAACAAGAGAGTCTGTGGTGCCAGTTCCAAGAATGAGACCATCAGGATGAAAAGCTGCAGATGTATAGCCTTCAGAAGAACCTGATGAGTCGAAAACCTACACAACTCAAATCATTAGTGGTTTGATTTAGAACTTAAATAGGAAAGACAGGGAATACTAAGAACACACTCTTAACACTTGGTTGTTAGTTGAAATTTATTAGAAACTACAGAAGTACAAGTGAGACCCATGTAATTTGTGATTTTCAATAAATTTCAAGCAGTAACAAAGTGTGTTTGAAAAAGTGTATGAGTGTAGCTAGCATTTCTCTAAAAAGGACTGAAGAGGTTAAAAATTATTACTTTCAGAAGATAGTTTTGAAAGAAATTTAAAAACTCCACATTCTTTAGACACTTCTACAAAACCATTTCATATAGAAATATAACTTCAACAGTGCACTAAACACCAAGTTAATTTTCATATTATGCCAACAAAAAAAAAAAAAAAAAAAAAAGGCTCCCCAAAAGGAAGGTCCATGTTCATGCATATTTCTTCCCTTTTATTGCCTGTTGTATTACAGAAGAAACAAGAGATGATACCTGAGTCAGACATGTCCCTGAAGAAAGTTCATAAAAGCACCAAGTGCCGTCAAGTGAAGCAGTCACAAAGTAATTATTGGTGGCATGGACAGTGACAGCTTGTACCTGAAAAATTGGAAAGACAAATCACTCTTGCATCACATTCAGTGCATAAACAAGACAAGTATAATTAGCAGGGGTTCAGGGAAATATATATTTGAAATAAGCCTCGTAGTTAGGAACAACAATCTTGAACGCATGCAATTGCATGGATTGAAAATGGTTGATTTTATAGACAAAACACGTGATGGATATGATACAAAAGAAAAAACATTAGCCCCTATTTCTACTAGTACTAGACTACTAATATTCCTAGTCGTATATGGAAACATATCAAGATATGCAATGAAACATAGAAACAACTCCTAAGTGATTATCAAAGATTCTTGAATATATTAAAAAATACAACAATAGCATTGAGATATTTCCTAGGTACTCTTAACACACTCTCAAACTAAAGCTTAGTTACAGTAAATAAAAACTAATAACACAACCTTCAGGCAGGAGACAAGGGCCAGGCTGCATTTGTAGCTGGATTCTGGAAACACTGGCCAGACTGAATCTAGGAAAGATATGGGGGCTAGATTACATCTGGCTTGGGTTCAGTTCAGATAAAAGTGCCTAACAACACCTGGGGTTGGAGACAGGTCAAACTACATCTGGGACAAGAAATGGGAGCCTAAGTATATTCAGCACTGGGGGTGAAGGGCAATGAAAAGATAGGTTGATAAGGAGCCAATCTACAGAAAGATGGGCCCAAACAGAGACAGTCAGTGCAAAAACATGCTAGAACAGCCAATCCATGGAAAGGCAACCTAAAACAAAGACCATCAGCAGAAAAAGAGGCTGAAACAGACTTCATTTGCATAAAGAAGGCATAAAAAAATAAGGGCATTGAACAGGGTTTTGTAGGTATCTGAGTTACACAATATCGACATAATAAAAAGGAGAAACTATTCTCAATGTGGATACAACATGCTCTGATAGACTGATAACAAGCCAGGAATCAACTATTCCAAAAGCTTAAGCTATTAGTTGAGGATACATGAATTATGCAAGAGCTATGTGGGCTTGAGACAAAGGTCAATGCACAAACCCACCTACCTTCTGCTGAAATTCCAAATATTACGAGAAAAATGGGGATGGCAGGGATAGAAATCTAGATTACTTGGTTATTGAGCAGATGAAACCACTCCAATCATAGTTTAGAGATTCTGAATAACATTCTCTACTATATAATGATGTGATTAATATGATACAGAAAGATAAAGCACTAAATATTAAACTAGTACCACACTCCTAAGATCAAGTCAAATAAAATATATAAACAAAAAGGAAATATGGAAACTGCTACTAAGATATAAATATACTCATAAGATACAATAATAAAATTAAAAGATATTTCCTAGATATGCTTAATGATCAATAATGTAGCTTCTGTACACATGAATGATTGGAATTATTATTGAAGTACTGAGGAATAATTTTCTTTCATGGGTTGTTTGGCAGGAAAGGAGTATATGAATGGAAAGAAAGAAATAAAGGAGAAAATGAATGATTTTTTATTTGTTTGGCTCAGAAGGAAAAAAAAAAAAGAAAATGTGTATGTAAAAAAGTCTAAAACAATCCTAAAAATTGGTTTATATAACATAAATTTTGGGAAACATGCCAAGAGATGAGCAAATTTTCTGCAAAGAACAATGGTGGGCCCCATTACGAATTTCTTTTCTCTCGTTTTCTTGTCAATCCAAAGAAAAGAAAAGACCTAGGAAACCATGTTTCCTCCCTACTCTATTTATCTTGTATTCTTTTGTTTCAAAGTTCAAACATATGCTTATGCTTATTGGTATAAAGTTAGATGGATTTATCTGCTATGAATGGAGATAATTCAGATTCCAACTCTATTCATTGAGAGGAGGGAGACTCTATACCATAAGTCAAATCTGCATGAGATGAATGATTCTACAATTTTTCATGCTGCCTACAAATCCAATCTGCATGAAAAATGTGTTTTGCTGTGCACAAGAAAAGTATGCTATCTGAAAATAGAGAAAATAAAGAAAGACTTTATTTTGTCTTGTCTGCACCTCTTCTTTTCTTCAGTTCAGATCAATGTTGTCGAATAGCGGCTATATATCATTTTTGCATAGTGGATTTTGGGCTTGTGGTTATTGCATGCAAGGTTTAGCCATGTTCGAAATAGCAGACACTATTAGGGTAAAGTACTCAATGAGTACCTGCAAAATTTACCCTAGAGTATTTATCTGTTAAACAGGTACGAGTATGGATACCTAAGTACTCACCTACCACATACCCGCACTTATATATATATATATATATATATATATATATATGAAGTTATCTAAACATATTATTTTTATAAGTAATTGTATATGATATTGACGAAGCATTCATGATTCATTCATTATTTTTTATTGCTTACACCCCTTTGTTATGCATTTTTTTTATTATTTAGCAAGAACAAATGTTAACAATTAAGTCATCTTCAACAAAATTCTTTTATCGTGCTTTTTGCATAATGTGAACAATTTCTTGTTTATACAATACTGGTAAAATACTTTATTAATATTATAAACTTTCCATATTCTTTTTATACTTTCAGCATAATTTTTTAATAACAAACCTCACTTACATGAATATGAAAAAAAAAAGTCAACAAGTGGATACTAGTATTGGATTTTAAAATATAATTCTAACATGTGTTTCGAAAAAGGAGAATCTCCTTACAAAGTGCACAGTAACTAGAAATATTGTTCTACTTTATCCTTTCAAATATTTATTTTTATTTTTATTTTTACATGTTATTTTGCAACAAACAATTAACCTTTTCTCTAGATGAAATAGAAAATAATTGAAGAAAGAATTGCAGACACTTGCAAAAATGGAAAGTGCAGAGAAATAGATGTAGGATTGTAGGGAACTGAATAAGCTGTTGCCTCCATGATGTTCTCAAGCAGGAATAGTTTAGTGTAAGATTTCGGATTTTTCCAGCCATTTGGGGAAGGTCATTATTTGAGGACTTCTTTGCTTGATTTCTGAAGGTGGAGGTTTGAAGAAATTTCTATAATCAGAATCTCCTTACCCTTTTCATTTTTTTATTCTCTTATCTTCAAAACATTTCTTATATTCTACAAAAGAATTCATATCAAGCCATACCATTGAACTTGAGAAACAATCAAAATGGGGTTCAATCCTATAAAACAATCTTACATGCCACCAGATCTACTAAAACCACTATCAGGCAGCAAAGAGCATGGTATCACTCCACAGGTAAAATTTAATATTGTGCCAGCAAAATTATCACACAAATATAGGGAAAGAATAATGTTGAAGAGGAAACATAATTGATTGACAAACATCAAAGGCCAATCTGAAAGCTTTATTAATTACTGTTGAGTCACCAGCAGAACATATTAAGTAATACACCATGCCCACATCAATTGAACATATATTAACCTAAAACTCATCAATAAGCACAAGTGCACAGCATAGCTATGCCTCAATTTCACTGATGAAAAAACATTGAAATGTAATCTTCAGAAAAAAGGAGAAAATTTTTCCAGTTTATTTTTACAGCAGCATTAGAAGCCCTAGAGAGGACTACTGTTAATACATAAAATTATAACTAATTATGGATGTGATATAGTAACATTAGTTTCATTTACCTCAGCTGTATGATCCTTTAAGATGTGCTTGCAGTTATAGTTACCATCATCTGACCCTTGCCACAAACGAACTGTCTGCAACATAAAGTTAAAATATTGACCACATGAAAGAACAAAATGACAATAGCTAACTTGTATTAAAAAGTTGCAGATTAGAGAAAATTTTGAACATAATCAATTTGTTTCCTTTGTTTGATGACAGAGTTGAAAGAATCAATTTACTGATTACTAGCTGATAACTAGAGAATATTATCCAAAATATTCTTGGACAAGCGCAACATAAGCACTTGTGTTAGAACTTTGATCAAATTGGCTGAGTAAAGTTACAACTGCAAGTATTAGTCTTTAGCACCAAACTACATTTTTTCAGTTTTCTGGGTGCAGTTGAATTCACATTACAAGTCATACACCATTTTTGGTTGACTGAGTGAGAATAACAATCAACAGAATATCATTTTGGATTCAAAGACAACTTCATAAAAGTTTGGAATTACTCTACCCAGTGTGCAACAAACAAGCTCAGAAATTCAGAAAACATTTGTGATTATAAAAAGTGGCTATGCTTGGACAGAACATGTGTCATGCTATACAATGTCCGTTCTAGGAAGAAGAAAGATGATTTATGATTATAAAATTGTTCCAAATTCCCAGTAATTTAACCTAAAGTGAAGGATAGCATTTCACCTTATCTGCCGAACCAGTTAAGAATGATTCACCCTGAGCTACAAACTTTACACTTGTAACCTACAATAAGTATCAATAATTAGATAAAATTTTTGAAGGAAAGATAACTCTGGCAATTCCAACTAAAATAAAACCTTTTTAGAGTGACCACTGAGTGTAGATAATATCTGTCCTGATGGTCGGTCAAAAATAACAGCATTTGTATCAATACCTCCAGTTGCAATTAGGTCCTGTAAACCAGACAGTGAGATGATCCTTGATTAGAACACAGTAGTTTGCTAGTTAAAGAAAATGACAGTGCCTTTTTTGCATGTTTCCTATTTATCGATAAAAAGCCATACCTTAGAATAAAGGATATCAAGAGATATAATGCCCTGTTTGTTTGTTTTGTGAAAGGGATGACTAGATATCTGGGTATATGCCTCTACAGCTTCAACAGGAGCCAAAGTAGCAGGAATCTGAAACAACCAAAAAAGAACATGAAAAGGCAAGTGCAAACATTCAAGTTTATAATTAGAAACATCAAAGTAATATTTGCATTGTTCCACAAGGAAAAAGAAAATTACAATTTCAAAAGTCAAGTTAAAACAAGTAAAAAGGAATAATATAAGTGCCATCAAATTCCAATCTGTCAAAAGCTCTAAGCAAAACTGAGCCCAAAAAGGAAGAAAAGCGTTAAATTATGCAGTTAATCCCTATAGTTGACACACGTTTACAAAATAGTCCTTATACTTAAAAGTTACGTTTTATTCCCTATCCAAATGTTTTGTTAGGTTTCGGTCCCTATTGTTTAGATTTTGGCCCTTATCATTAAGGGTGTTAATAATGTTATAATGGCAGAAACTAAAATGTAACAATATACTTACATAGGGACTAAAACAACAGTTTTCTTAAGTTTAGGGACCAATTTGTAAACAAGTGCTAACAATAGGAATAAAATATATAGTTTAACAAAAGTAAAAAAAAAATAATTTTGGTTAACTTGTCTAGAAAAAATTCAAAATGAGTCACCAAATAAATGAATCATGAATTTTAAAAATACTTAAAAACTCATATATTTAAGTTAAAAGATCATTTATGGTTTAAGACTATATATATTTTTTTATAAAACTTATTGATTTGGTAAATACATAAATCAATAAAAAAATAATACTTATAGTTAATAAAATACTAAAATTAGTTCACATATAATAAAGACTTCTCATTATGGTTAAAAAAAAATATCTTAGGCATATATCTAGTCTTTTTGAGTCGATATAATAGGACAAAAAAAAAAAAACTAGATACGCCTAGATATCTTTTTTATCTAATTGATAGAGGAAGTAACAAAAAGACCAACTAATGATGTTTTGAGTTAATATAATAAGAATTGCTTACTTATATCATGATAAAAAATTTTGAATTCATTCATGTAGTAAAGTTGGTCCTCTAAAATTGAGTAATAGTGTAATTTTACATCTCATTCGTCAAGAACAAAGTGTTATGAAGATAAAATCAAGTTATAATCATAGTAGTCAAAATTGAGATTTTACATAGGATCGAAGAAGGGGTGAAAGATCATAACTCGTAAGATCGTAAGATCTTACAAAATTGTATGAATGCATATAAAATAGTATAAATATAAAAATGAAAGAAACTAAACAAAGACAAATGAGAGAAGGGAACCACCCTTAACTCAAAACAGAAACAGGCACATGCCCATTAAAAACAGAGACAGAGAAGAGAAGGAAAAGATGGATTAGGTAATTTATTCTGATGGAAAGACTATTTTGCCCTTAAAAAACATTTATAGCAGAATCATTTTAAGGGCAAAAAGGGAAAGTCAAATTATTTTTAAAAGATAAGAAGTCTTTTTTACCCTTAAAGAACCCTAAAATCTGCCTCATTCTAGGGATAGAAAGGAAAGTCGACAACTTTTGCTCTAGCGGCACTGTTGCACTGCAAATTAGGCTATGACGATGGCTGCAAATACAGCTGCAATATATGACACGCACGAGCGGGGTGGTGGATACCCACAGCAAAACGCTCCAGTATGACAAGGTCAAAAGCAATAGGGATCGCAGAGCAGAGGAAAGGTTTAGGGATCACAGAGCGCAATCAATTTTAGGGTTTCAAGCAAAACAGGTCATGGGTGGTTAAAAATTGGGTTTGAAAACACGGGGGATCTTTACATTCTGGGATGGCAGTCCCACCCGATCTTGCTAAATCACAACCCTGGCACCGAGTTAGCATGGAGAGGGAGTTGAAGATCGTAAAATCATGCGATTTTACTTTCTGACATGTGAGTTTGACTACCATGATTATAATACATGTATTTTCTTAACTAAATTTAGTGTATTGTATTCTTTTAAAATTATAATTGACTAAAATACATATTTGATTCCTAAATTTGACATGTTTACAAATTAGTCCTATATTTAAATAAAAACTCACATTTTCATCCCTATACTTAAAAAAACTTGTGTGTTAGTCTTTATACTTAAAACAACTAATGTTTTAGTCCCTACACGAAAATTTTGTTATTGATTTGGTCCCTTGCATCATTAATGTCATTATATCGGTAGAAACCAAAATGTAACATAACACTTGTATAGGGACTAAAATGTTACTTTTTCATATAAAGGAACTAATGTGTAGATGTGTCAACTATTTCGATTAAATGTATAATTTAACAGAAAAAGAAGATACTAACAAATAAGAAAATATTATTGCAAAGCAAAAAACAATGCATTTATATATTATCATGAGGAATACCTGTCTCTTTTTCCTCTGCTGGGAAAGAGCAGCATTGCAGTCACTAAGCTCAGAAATTATGCTAGAAGACATTCCAGGATGCATTTTCTTTGCACCAGGTGCAAGATCCTCATCCTCAGCAGCTAAAATGCAAGATAATCCAAATAAGCAATTGAAACAAATAGCAACTATGGAAAATATCCATGAGGAAGCACCAAATGTATGCTTTCGAACACTCACATTTTATCTATAATAATAATAATGGGGGCTCCTTTTGAAATTTATATCAAACTCATCCTAGAAAGTAATTTTCAAAATTGCAAAAAATAGGTCAAAAGTTTGACGAAATGATATTGTGAAAAACACCTCTTTTCCCATTGCTCAGAACAGGGGCATTTGCTGCCACAGCATTTGGAGCAGAAACAGTGAACTTCCTTTCTGCTTGTGAAAGGAAAGACCTAGCTTCATCTCGTTCCTTTTTAAGTCTTGCAATCACTCGGCAAGCAGCATCATGCTACACATTAAAACTGTAATAAATAAAGGGTAACTCTGGCAGTGGAAAATATAGCAACAAAAATACTATCATTTTGAAATCAATATCAAAAGATCATATTGAAATAAAAAATAAAACCAAGGAATGAAAAGTTCAACAATAAAGAAATAATATTAAAGCAGAATAAGTCAAGCAAAAGATAATAATAAAAAACTTGAACGGGAATATAGCTGACAACTTATAACACTTATTTTTCAAAAAACTAAAAGGCCCATTAAAAAATGGTATCAATCTAAAATGTTTCAATTTCCATCAGTAGAAAAGAAATTAAAGAAGTCTAAACTGGAAAAAAAATTATAACCAAAATGAAAACCTAAAAAGGCAAGAAACCTTGAAGTTTTGGAGGTTGTAAATTCAAAGGCCAAGAAATGTAAATGATAACTGTAGAAGACAACAATTTAGGTCAATAACCTTGTTGCTCTTACCTGATATAGAGCATGACTAAGCTCTTGCCTTGCTGTGTGCAGTTGTTGCTCCAACGCAAAATTAGATAGCATCAACCCATCCCATTCCTATAAATAAGACATATCAAACCATCATGAGTGGAAGACTACAAAGTAGTATTCTTTCAACATAGAGAAGACAAACACATGTCTAAGCATCTCTAATTATTGACTTAGAAAACTTATTAATAGAAACCACAATTAAAATCCCTATTCAATAATGTAAAGCATGTAATTCTTTTTAAAAGAAATCGGCAGCATACAGTTTCAAGTGAAGTCATCATATGCCAAAAATTGTAAGGAATACTTAGCCTGAATTCCATACATTTTGGAACATTCCAATCATGCCAGGGATGCTAGCTGCCTGAATGGGTCTGGGCTTCACTATCTGCATGATAAATTATCCTGATTCAATCAGTATATTGCAAATGAATGCTTGAAAAGCATTGAATCACATCAAACATGGGTGGCTTAGTATATAGTTAAAAACTCCATACTCAATATTAAAAGCATAGAACAGATACCATTTACCACCATACCTTCCCTGTCTTGACTGGTACAATGTCGTCCATAGTAAGTGGTTCTCCAGTAATTGGACACTTCCCATAATCCTACTCAACATTTTTTTGCAAATTTGAATATAAAATGTCAAAAACAGATTAGTAATAATATATGTACAGATAAGCTTAAAGATAACAAATAATCAAATTAAGCGTGACCGCAACACCCATTGCATAGCAAAATACACACAAAACAAAAAGGCACCTCAATCATGTTCCACAAGTAACTGCATATACAAACGCCTCACTTTCCTTTCTCTTTCAGTAGATTGAACATGAACAGAGAGCAAACAATTAAAAAAAAAAAAAAACCGTACCGCTTCACTGAAATAAGAAGGCACATAACAGACCTACTACAAAATCAAAATATATTTTTGCCGCTTGACAGTCCTATCCTATTAACTTTAACCAAACAACCAATACAAAATCTAGTTTCTGAAATGAGCAAAAATAAGAAAGAAAATGTAAAAATTTATTAAAAAAAAAGATTTAAAAGATTAGTCACTGAAACGAGTCAAACAACTAGGAATCTGAAATTACAGCCATGAGGTCTATAAACCAGTCTCCCGAAGTCCAAAACCAAACCCTTAATTTCAACTACAAAAGAAGGTCCCTTTCTTTACCCACTTCCATTGTTCAATAATTACAACACTTTTCTTAATTTTCCCTTCATTCTTCACCCAGTTTTACTCATTCTATCAGCAAATTGAACTGCGGAAGGTGCTTGAACATGAGAGAGAGAGAGAGAGAAGGGTTACCGAAATGTGTCTCTCAATCAAACGCTTCTCAAAGAGAAGACCGGAGTTCTTCGACACCACGGGCTCTTCCGGAACTTCGCCGGAGACTGCAAATAGGCAAAAAACGACGACGTAGGTTCAGATCAGCAAAATTAAATTAAAAATAAGAATGAAATAAAGCACAGTAGAATGAAGCGTTGAATCAGAATAAGAAGAAGTGAAAATAACTGGAGCAATTCATGGTTGAAGCGAGGGTCGAGAATGAGAGCTAGGGTTTTGGGTTTTGGAGCGGTGTGAGGGCAGACACAGAGGGAAATGGAAGTGAACCAAACGAAACCACCGCAAGTGTTTCAGATTTCAGACGTCTTTTATTATGCAGGACAGGCCCAAATACCCGGTCCATTTCAGACATCTTTTACCATTTTCGGGTCACATTTTTAAATTTGACTGAAATACCAATTTTGCCCCTAATTTTTTTCACTACTACGTTTACCTCTCTTCCTTACTTTTTTTTCACAACTTACCATAGATTTTTCTTTTTCTTTGAAAATATCCAAAGTATCCTCCCGCGTTATCCCTCCTGCCTACATTTTATATGTACAATTAAAATTTATCATTTATATAATTTATTATTTCATTGACTCAAGAAATGTAAATTAAATAAAAAGATTTAGATCATATATATTAAAATGGTATGATCACAAGGTTTTTGGTAGTTTAAAGAAGAAGATGAAATTTTTTATAATTTTGCCTTAAATGAATTTTTTTACTTAAAAAAGAATAACTCTGTCACTAAATTCTCTTTAACAAATTATTTTTTTTACTAAATTTATTTGGGTGAAAATTTTTCACGTAATTGAATTTAAAATACAGGTCACAATTTGTAATACCTTTATTTATTTATTACATATTTATTTTGTTTATCATTTATTATTGTATTTTATTTTTAAAATAGAAGAAGTTAAATTTTTGGAAGCTGCTGAGGATCTTACTCAAGCAAAATTGAGTTTTCTAAACTAGACGTTTCAGGATATTCTCACTCAAGTGAGAAAGGTCTTGCTCAAGTGAGAATGGATAATATCACTATAATTGTCCTCTCATCCAAGTTAGAAGCCCCTCACCCAAACAAGAAGGTACAGGAAAATGAGAAGTTCTTTGGACCATGTCTTGCTCAGGCGAGAAGGGATCTCACTCAAACAAGATTATTAGAAAACATGTAAATGCGAGCAAAGTCTTGCTAAAGTGAAAGGCCATGAGCAAAAAGGGTATTTAAGAAAATTCTTGTTCTAAAACTTGCATTACAATCCAAGCAAACACTTCTCACTTTTCTCTCAGAACGTTTTCTTTCCTTTTCTAGAGAAAATTCCTTTGATTCTCAAACTACCTTTAAATCCAAGCTCAGATGTCTTTCTCTTTTGATTCCAAGTAAATTCTTTGGAACTCAATCTTCTCAGCTCACTTCTATTTCTCTATTTTCTCTCTTCTCAAAAGTGTTCCACTTTGAATATATGGAAAGAACTTGGTCTTTAAATGATCTCTTCCGCAAAACTCTTCACAAAATCATCTCTTTAAGATAATGAGGGTTCTATCCCATCATTTAAAGCTTTTACTACAGAATTTCCTTCCATTTTTGTACACATACCCTGTATAGTATGTGGTTATATGATGTTTATTTTAAAAATCTAAACTTAAAAATGAATTCCTTGGATGTTAAAACTTAGGGTTCAACTCAAGAATCACTTAAATAAGAGTTTTCTAGAGAAAGTTATAATTAAGAGAAGATTTAAGTTATTGTCTTGAATTAAATAAATTTTGAAATGGATGATTGCATGATATTTTTTGTTTTGAGAAGTTCGCATGGGATATATAAAAAATGTGTGATACAAAATAATTATATAGTGATGTACTTTAAACCCTAGTACAGAGGATTCATATTTTTAAAGTAGATATAGCATGAAATGCAATTGGAGGTGAGTTCGGTGTATTCAACCTCTAGCAAATTAATTAATGATTTAACTGTATTTGAATGACATGTTATAGTGATTGTGGACATTTATTTGAAAGTTGATGTATATTTAAAAATGGTAAATTCATATTATGATGAGAAATGAAAAGGGTAAAAGTTGTATTATTATGAAAAGTGATAAGAATACGCATGAGTAGCTACAAAAGTACACTAGGAGTATAAAGTTTCAATTTTAGAAATCTGGGAGAAATGAGGGTAGTGAATGTTGTTTACTAATGTGTACATAACTAAAAGCAAAAGCATCACAGGCCTCACATTTATTTTCTAACTAACACTCTTGCTATACTTTTGCTAAAAGGAGTCGCAATGACACACATTATATCTATGTTGCTATAGCTAACCAATGATTATCTATACTTATGAAAGATCTCAAGGGATCTTTGGGACAATGATCGTGTAATTATAATATATATGATCTAACATATTAATTGATATGATTATAATATATGTATTGTAATACTTCAATATGTGTTATTATAATACATGTGTTTTAACTTATTGATTAGTATGATTATATTACATGTATTATACCATTCTAATTGGTGTAAGCATATATTAAATACTAAGATCTTGGTGTATGTTTTTATTTTTAAAAATATTGTTGATATAATTGCCATCATGTTTGCTCTGTGAATTGTTAAATTATTGTTTCAATTTGGTTTTAGCGGTAAGGAGAAGACTCTTCCTTACTTACATTTTCAGGAAATTAGTTAGGATAAATGGCCTATACTAGAATTATATTTTCACTTCGATGTGAGAGTGATATGCTCATTGTGACTTGTTATATTTGATTTTGCAATATATAAATTAAGTCCTAATGTATTTTTGAGGTTATGATATGTAAATTTCAAACTTTTGTGTCTAAATGAAAGTTAATATATGTATATTTTCTTCTAGTTTAAGTGTAAATTTACTTAGCAAGTTATAATATAATGATAAATCCCTCTTATTTTCTTCAATAACCAAACACTCACTTTTCTTTTCTTTTCTTTTTAATCAAAATCATAATAATTCTTGATGTGTTTAAAAATCAAATCAAATTATTTTAAAATTTCTAAATTGATCTAAAAAAAAATACTACAATTTATTTTTAAAAACTAAAAACTGTTTTTAAAAAGTAAATCAAATATGCTCTATAATAGTTTAATTTTATTTTTGTTTCAAATTTGTCTTCTCTATTTTAGTTTAATTTAGTTATTTAACTTTCATTTTTGTTTTAAGTTAGTCCTTCTATTAAAACACCATTAAGTTTCTGTTTTAGTAATGATTGAAATTGATTGAGTAGTTACTTTAAAACTATATTATAACTAACATATAAACTTTTTTTATTATTTTATGAGTTAAAATGAAAGATTAAAGCATAAAAATTAGTTATTGCATTCATCAAACCTTAATTTTGAACATTTTTTCAATAATTATTGAAATTGATCGAAAAATTCTTTAAATATTGAGTTGCAATTAACATATATAAAATAATGTAATTTCATTGAATAAAATAAAAGATGAAATTGATTCATTCTTCAAGTTTAGTTTTCATCATTCATGGAATTTCTATATTTGAACCAATGATTGATCAAAATATTTTAGAAATTTTATTCGTTATATACAACTACTTTAATGATGTGTTTTATATTAAAAAAAATGCATGTTTTATAAATTATTTTAATAGTTACTTGCAATGTTTACTTTATCTTATTTAGTGTACAATTAATTTTATTTTATTTTTCTCTATTTATGATATATGCTATAGTCCAATAAAATAACTTTAATTGTATTTTTTTTATCATAATAAAATGTTATGTTTTTTTATATGTCAGTCTTTTTCATAAAAACACGTATAATTCTTTTTCCTTATACTTATTTAAATTGTTTTATATGTGAAGAAAATATGTGTCACTGTCCTTGTGTGATCATATAAATTATGTTGTGAATTTTTTTTTTCTCTTAAGTTTTTATGAAAAGTTATAAATTGTGGTTTCAAATTGAAATGAGTTAAGTATTGTGTAAAAATAATAATTTACATTAAAAAATATCATGACTTCATATTAATAATAATATAAGTTTAAATAAAATTATAAAATGTTGATCAGTTAAGAGCTAAAGTAAAGATGATATATAAATATTTGTTCTTAAGGTTGGTGTAATGATAATTGAATTAGAATGTATGTTAGTTATAATAAAAATCAATTTGTATTAATTTTAGAGTCTGTTTAAAATGTTTTACAAACAATTAACAACTCTCGTAAATTATTTTTAAATTATTATAATAAATTTAATCATTAAATTTATCATATAAATTATCCTTATAAAAATAACTTATTAAATATATACTTAAATAAATTATATATCTAAATGCATCCTTAGCTTTCTGTTTTTCTACTTTAATCTTTCTTATTCTATATTTTTATGGCATTTCAAGCATAAAATAAAAGTTCATACAACAATCTTTATATTTTTAATTTTCAAAATTTTAAACTAATTACAAATAATGTTATAATTATTTTATTTGTAAATTATTGACTTGTAAAAATTATACACTATTTTATTTAATAGATTAACCTTTTTATGTGACATTAGTGGCATAATTTTATTAAACTCTTATTATGTTCCTGTTGAATGAAAACTTGCTATTATTTTGGATTTTTGTGCTAAGAATTCTTAATTATTTTATTGATATTGCTGAATTGGCTGGAGGACTTAGATATCCTTAAGGAAGTCCTAGAAACTTCTGATTTTGATGGGGAGCTTTGGCATGAGTTTGTAATCATTTGGTTAAGAAGATCAAGATTGAATTTTGTTTACCATTTTATTGTTATGGTTCGTACTAGTAATTGTATAGCTTTATGCTCATGAAGTTTGGCAGAGTCATATTCCCACATGACAATCCAAGTAACTCCTAGACTAACTACAAAAGATAAAAGTTGACATTCTGGTGTAAAATTTGTATTTCTTTTAAAATATTCCATAGCTTTTCTAGCTTCTTCGGGAAATATTGATATTTCTGTTCCAGAATCAAGACACGAGTAATGGAACTACTTTGAAAATTTAAATGAGCTTCCTTTTTTAAACCAAATAAACCAGGAGTGAGTTGTTGATCTAAGATACATCATATTTCTCCATGCATTTATATAATCAAAATAATTATTATAAAACTCTTGTATTAGAATAGGGGCTTTAACATCCTAAATTTTTATTTCTCAAATTTTAAAACATATTTATATATAACTCGAATAAATAATATAAATTTCATATTTAATGATAGTATAGAAAGAATGTACAAGAAAATTAAAACTTTTCTACAATTTAAACCATTTCCAATGTT